TCTGTCCTAGGCTCATAATAAGCCCTCCATTGACATTTGGGCAACTGATGTTCCTTTTAAAAAATTCGAAGATCCATGTAACCATCAAGAGTTAGTTTTTTGATATGTTATTTTCTCAAAATATATAGTCTGGAATGTAAAATATGATAATATCGTTTACTTTATTCAAAGTCAGTTAAACTCAAAACATATTTATCCAAGGCTTACTGTGTCACTAGAGATTGAATTTAGTACTTGAATCCACATTGATGATTTTTGCGTTTCAGGAAGTATCAAGTCAGTTCTGTACAAATCATTGCTGTGTAATGTGTTCTGGGAGGTTATGTAGTGTCGATCCGCCAATTAATTTCACCATAAAGAAAAATGGGAAAACAAGAAATCCCTGTGACTGTTTAGTTTTAAATGATCTAATTATAATTCATTTCACATTCATACATTATGATATGATTTTTGTTCAGAAATTCATTGCATTTATTTCTCTTGGTAAGCACAAATAACGTATTGAAAAAACATGGGGGAATTTTGCCTGTTGTTAGAAAGGAAGCAAGGAGTAAATCACGGTTATCTTCACGGAATGAATGTTGAGCTTTCGTTGTTATTGTTCCTTTGTGAATTGTTTTGTTCTAAGAGTGTGTAACGTCAGGAGTACAAGTCTTCCAGTGTCCATCCCTCCTGCCACCCCTAGTCCCACCTCTGTCTGGTTAAGTAGCTGGACTTTGAAGTCAGATCAGGCAGGGGCGGGTCCAGCTCCATCGTTTCCCAGCGATGTGGCCCTGGGCAAGTTGCCCACCCTTGCTAAGCTTCTCATCTTAAAAATGGGGGTAACAATGGGCCGCAGCTCCTGAGCTTGTTGTGAGGATTCAGTGAGATGGTGCAATTAATCTTGTACGTGCCTGGTGTATAGTACATATTCAGCAAATATTAGCTAAGTTAATATTTATTTTAATACTAATAGTTATAGTTGATAAATGTTTATCTGGAAAGGAAACTATCTGCTCCCTTTGATGTTCTACTTCTTAATCGTGTTGAAAATTAAGATCAGAAGAAAACTCTTAATTTCTTTGATCTCATCACTGAATTACTGGAGGTAAATATTCCCTGCAAAGATTTTTAATTCTAGTATTCATTATCAGAGAGAAAAAAAGCACTATTTGCTTCCCGGATACAGATGCAAACAGAAATAAAACACAGTTGCTGTTATCGCTCCATGGGCACCATCTCTACTTGGTACCAAGAGAGATAATGATCTTGCAGTGTAATTATACAAGGAGGTAACAAAATCAATTACGTTATCTCAAGTGTAAACACTGAAGGCCTTATGCCGTTGCTGGTTAAGATGGGCTGTAGCTGTGGCAGCTGCTCACCCACCAATATAGATGATTTTAGATGAAAGAAAACATGAGTTAATAAAAGAAGATTTGACGACATAGAAGTGTAGGTGGCGTTACAGCTTACTATTCAAGAATGAAACCAGGAATATGATTGTTGGGTGAACTGTCATCACAAAGCAACCACGGACATAAGTGAAGGCAGTGATGGACAAATCATTTGGTTCATTTTCTGTTATTAAATAGCAAAGTCTTCACAAAATCACCAACAAATCTTCAAGCCCTTTGTGTCCACTGAAATTCCACATGATCTTGTAAAATATTGTGAACCATAAAAATAAAAGGCTAAGAAGAAATTCAGGAGGCTGTCAGATACATTGGTTTCGTAATTGCAATGGCTGTGGGGCTAGTAGGATCCCTTCTGAGGTTTGCTGATTAAAGTAGAGAACATCTTTTATTGTTACGGAACTGAAACTTCATATAAAAGATAAATTTATAGACATTCAAGCCCATAAAATAAAATCAATAATTATGAACCTCTATAACTAAGTTCGTGAGATTTCAGAACCAGACAAATCTGCTTTATAAACTCAACATTGACCCAGGTTGAGTGACCTTGGACTCAACTTTTACTTGAGTTGGACTTTTAGTTGCTTAACTAAAATCTTTCAGAATAATCGCAAATACCAGATAGGATCATTGTGAGTATAAAATAACACAACTGTGCTAAAATTGTGCTTAGCACATGGTAAACACTTGAGGATAAATAAGAGGATTCCTTTCTGGTTTTTTTTCTCATTCTTCCTTAGGTTTTTCGCAAGTTTATATGCTGCTTTTCTCTCTATCTGAAATAAGATATTTATTTTAGCTTGATCCAGTAACTCGGTACTATTTATTCCAGTTTTCTTATGGTGTGTAAATTACCCTGGGCTCTGTAGATCTTAAATTTACCATGCATTTTTTAACATTAACACTCTGTCCAAAGGAAAGTCATTTGGAGTAACCCTTGTTAATCTTTGCTATGCTAAGAAAGTTGGCAAAGTTAACCATAAGCCTGTTTAATCAATAGAAAATACCTAAAGGCTTTACAAATTCACAGGTAGCCATGATATGATGTGATTTCTTACTTGTTTTTCCTTGTCTCATTTCCTCTAAGTTTTTCATTACTTTATGTTTTAAATAAAGCAAAACCTGGCTCATGGTTGGCATCTAATAAGTGTTTGTTGAATTGAGAGGGAAGGAAATAAATATTTTAATTGTGACTAGAGGCAACAGATGGGCCCTCAATGGTGGCTGAATAGACCTTGATTAAATTATCCAGTTTAGAAAACATTCTGCACCTGTTTCTCATATTCATATAAAAAAACTACTTGGGTTAATTTCTTGGGATAGGAGAAGAATTAAATTAATTGTCTTATAAGCGTCTTTATATACAGTAGGGTTTTTGTGTTAAAGGGACCCTAGAGATGAAATATTTCAACCTCCTTAATTTATGGAGAAGGAAGCTAAGGCCCTGAGAGTTTAAATGGCTTCATCCTGTGGTGCTGAGCTGCAAAAAGAATTCACTTCTGATTCTTTCCACTTGAGTCAGCTCCTCAGGGCACTTGTTTATATTAAAAACTTTCATCTATTCCAGAGGCACTTACATATCTATAAAAAATCAACAGCCAGGGGCTGGCCCCGTGGCCGAGTGGTTAAGTTCACGCGCTCCGCTGCAGGCGGCCCAGTGTTTCGTTGGTTCGAATCCTGGGCGCGGACTTGACACTGCTCATCAAACCACGCTGAGGCAGCGTCCCACATACCACAACTAGAGGAACCCACAACGAAGAATATACAACTATGTACCTTTGGGGAGACAAAGGAAAAAAATTAAAAAAAATAAAAAAAATAAAAAAAAAAATAAAAATCAACAGCCAGATAAAACCAGGGTTGAGAACATCGGCTTTTGAGTTAGAGAGACCTAGGTTCAAATCCCGTCTCCACCACTTACTACCTATGTGACCTTGGCTGATTGTCCCAAGTATTGGTCAAAGTACCTAATCTCTCCGTGCCTCAGTTTCTTTATCCATAAAGAGGGGATGACAAACCTTCGTCATCTTCAAAGTAGAAATAACAAGCCTTCATAGATTTATTATTGATGATAAATGTGATACCGTGTATAAAGGATTATCACCAGGCTGGGTACATGCTAAGCAGTCAGTGCGTGTTAACTCTTATTAGAATATAAATTAGAATCGAGAGAGAAAATTGAAGGGAAGTGGTGTAGGCAAGTATAGTCTTATATTTTGCTAATAGCGGGCCACAAATTTGGCTTCAAGCTTCCTTACAGCCAACATGGAGAAAGAGCACGACTGATTACATAGTTCACAGCAAACTTAGTTATGTTAATTATATATCTCTAGCCAAACCAGGACCACCCTTGTCTACCCCCATCTTTGAATTTCCAAACAAGATCTTTCTCTATCAGACTCAGTAGTGTGGCTTTTAGAGACTTGTTGAGTTACAGTAAGGGCTGCCCAGGTTTGCCTCAGGCTCTCTTAGCGTTCCACACGGCTACGCGTCTTCCACTCAGCACATGCCCTTCTTAGGAAGGCCAAGACTTTGGAGGAGGCCAGAGATGAACTTGGAGCTAGGTAGCTAATTTTCCTCACCCACATCAGGCGCTCCTTAATCACTGGGACCAGCCTTTTTCATCTTTACATATTCACTCATTGCCTTTCACAAGGATTGAATGGTGGATGCTCAGTAAATGCTTGTGATTTGCAGTAATAAGTGAACGTGTAGGGGGGTTACTGGTATAAAAATGCCCCTGTTCTAGGGCTTAGTTATAACAGATTATTTCAGGCACTACAGATTTTTCATCCAACTCTGATGACAGCGCTCAAGGCTTAAATCTCGGTATTTTAAATGAAAAATAAAATCTATATGAACTCTTCTTCCCTGGGTACTGATGTGCAACGACCTGTGTTATTAAATGTCAGAATGAAATAGAATCGGTTTTCTTAAAAAAGGAGAGAAGTATAACTCTGGCACCTGTGGTATCTTTTGGAATAGGTATACTAATCAATTTCCTTTCAAGACACGTATATCATTATAACTAACATAAAGTTATGGCAAAACTTCACGTCTCAAAAGAATCATATACACTTTGCTTGGGATGTCACCTATGGAGGGAATGTAGAAAGATTATGCTATCATTAAAATATTTTTAAATCTGCATATTGAAATTATTGTAAAATGCCCTAAATTTTTTAGTTAAAATATTTAAAGTTAGTTATTTCATTATATTCTTTCTTTCCATGTATTTGTTAGAGTTAAGAATCAATTCCTTTTCTCTGAATAACCACTCCCAAACCAATCTCCCTTGAGACTCTCCTCACTTATCCAAATTAATAAAATTGGATGAGAGGTATGTTGGCATTTATTCAATGAGGTGGGTTTTTTCTTCCTTGTTTACGATTAAGTACCTGTCTCCAATTTAATTTACAAGCTAGGAATCATTTAAATGTTAAACAGGAAAATAAATGAAAAGGTTGTTTGCAATAACTGGGGCTCACACAGAGCTGGTTGACTTGTTTCCATATGCTATGTCTAAGCCCGATTTCAAATTGTAGGATAGGGTTTTATGGAACCAAAATAATAAGTCCTTGTGACCCTTTTCTCCTTTCCCAGGCTCTTGGCTTTTACCCCATCCAAAGCCAACATGTCACTGAAGAATGAGCCGAGACTAAATACCTCGGCACTGCGGAAAATCGCTGCCGACATGAGTAATTTGATAGAAAATCTGGACACGCGGGAGCTCCACTTTGAGGGGGAGGAGGTGGATTGCGAAGTGTTTCCTGGCGATCCCAAGATACAGGAAGGTATGACTGATGGTCTGAGCGCGGAGGAGAGAGTTTATCGGGGTTTCCTGGCAGAGCAAGATCTGAAATAACCTGCTAATGGTTGATCTTCCTTGCTGTTGTCCTAACGCTGTGCTGAGACCATTTCATTATCTGTTTCCTCATTGTAGCATGTTAACGATTCTTAGAAAGAGATGCCCGTGAAAAGCAAGTTATGCTAATATCATGTATTCTTGCAATATCATTGTTTTCTTGCGATAACTTTATTTACTTATTTATTTTTTAGTGTGCATCCCTTTCTCTGCCGTTTATAACACTCAAGGATTCAAGGAGCCTGATATACAGACGTATCTGTCCGGCTGTCCGATACAAGCCCGAGTTCTGGAAGTGGAGCGCTTTACGTCTACAACGAGGGTCAGAGCGTTTGTGGACTTGCCTTGAATTTGTCGATATATACTAATTAAGACAGGATCCTCCGTTTTCCTTCCTCCTAGCTATGACTGTTTTGAGCTTTTTGTTCATCTGCTTATCACTTCCAAGTCCTTGTCTCCTCTCAAGTTTTTGCTTCCTTCCCATTTAGTCTTTCTTCCTCTTACACCTCTTTCCCCATTCTCGAAAATGCTTTCTTTAAAAAACACGTTTAAGGCTATTTGTAAGTTTAATGAATTACAAAGTGCCTCTCCTGGGCCGCCTCTCTCTCCAGTCTTCCATTTAGCGTGGATTCCTAGGGTATCGCCATTCTACCTAGAATGCCAGGTACTGGCCAAGGAAAAGTTTAGATTTCCTAATGCCTGTTCAGCAAGAAAAGAATGATGCTATCTCGCTCTTGAAAGAAAAAAAGCCAGGATGCTGGATTGGCCAGTGCCATTCCCTAAAAGTCCTGCTGAGAGGATTCTGCTGGCATACCCGCCTCTCTGACTTGTTTCTAGTACCCCATCCTTTAGGTCCCGTTCACTTTTTCTCTTTGAGCACTGAAAGGTGGGGCAAGCAACATGTTTTGCTCAAGGAAAGCTACACTCTTTGAAGCCATTGGACTGGAAGAGACTGTCAGGGTAGCTGCGTTTGCTCTGTTACTGCCTGGATTTTGCACTTGTCAAGTCTCATGGGTAGAGAACTTTGCTTCAGGTTGGTGGGCCTTTGTCCCTTCAGGTTAAGCTGTGTCCATGGCAGAGTATGGCCACCATTGACTCCTGTCCCAGGGGAGGAATAGAATAACCTTTCAGCTGGGGGCAGGCTTTGCCTTCCCTTCCTGCTTGTCTTTGGAGGCTGGCACGTGCTGCCTTGGTCCTGATGGTTTCGTTGGTGCTCTGTCCTGACTGGCTTGGTGTCCAGCTTCTCTTTAGGATCTTCCTCTGAGTTAGGTCCGTGTCTCTCTGATACGCCACTGAGTGCCAACACCCGGAAGCGTCTCTTAGATGACATTTGCCTTCTTATTTTGCCTACCAGCTTTTGGATTGAGAGGTGATAACATGTGGGGGTTAAATGCACAGACTCCAGAGCCAGACTGCATGATTTAATTCTTGTCTTTGCTTTGGAATCTCTAGCAAGTTACTGACCTCCCAGCTTCCTCATCTGAATAATGGATACAATAGTGCCTACCTTATAGGTTTGTTATGAGGAGTTAATAGTAATAATACATAGCATTATACTTGTATTATGTAAGTATATTATATATTGTATTATGCAAGTATATGCTGTCTAATACTATGTATTATTATTATTAGGTATCTCCTAAAGTTATACATGAAGATAAATATTCAAGCCACCAAACCAGGGACTTCTCCTTGCTCATACTCTTCTGTTAACCACCTGAGTTTGGTTCAGTTCTGTTTTATTTATTTATTTTGCTCAGAAAGATTTGCACTGAGCTAACGTCTGTTGCCAATCTTCCTCTTTTTTTTTTTTTTTAAATATGAGCTGCTGCCACAGCACAGCGACTGACAGACGAGTGGTGTAGGTCCACACCCAGGAGCTGAACCCAGGCTGCCAAAGCAGAGCGCACCTAACTTAACCACTAGGCTACTGGGGCTGGCCCTGGTTCTCTATCTTTATCTGTGTGAGAAGGCTAAGGATCATCTGCCTCCTCCTTAGAGTTTAGTTTACTAAGAAAGATGACCTGAATTCATGCAGTTTGAATGTGATTCCAGGTGAATAAAAAGGACCCTTTTTCTGATGATTGTGTTGATGTGCCAGCTGATGGCAGGCGCTCTGATGACAGCAGGTGAGATAGATGTTATCCCCTGCCCTCCCAGGCTGGAGATCCTCCACTTGCTACTCTAGCTCCTCCTCGCACCCCCTCCACCCTGTCTCTGCCCTGGGGGCTCCCTTGCCTTTCTCCTCTGGCAGGACTCAGACAACGGAGAGCCCAGATACGAGACTGGGGTCACCCTGGCTTGGCTGTGTCCCTTGACCAGAGACTAGGTCCATGCATCCTAGAGGTATTCTAGGCTACACCACCTAGGTTTGTGTAAGTACGCTCTATGATGTTCACATAATGATGAAATTGCCTAAAGACACATTTCTCAGAATGTATCCCTGTCGTTAAGTGATGCATAACTGTATTGACCCCAGAACTGGGTTCCTTCAACTTCTGGTTGGAGTAAGTGTCATGAATCCTAACTAGAAGCAAAGCAAGTGCTGGATTTGAATGTTTACTAGGGATGGGGTTAGATTCCAGATTTAAGAGTACAAGTTGCATTGATTCTCATGCACATGTTTTATATACTACATGTACACAGAGTGGCCACGCTTTAGAAGTCTGTCAAATATGCCAAACGTCAGGAATGAATGGCAGCAGGCCAGGAATCACCCATGGGGATGCTGACACCAGAGCCTGGATAAGCCAGCAGAGTAGGAGACATTTACTCTCTCCCACCCCCAACACTTATAGTGCCTAGATCTCTTGGTAGGGGCCCGTGTCCTCCAGGTGTCCAGAGTGCCTGTACCCCACCCCTGCAACACACCCCGTGGTAGCTTCCTTCAAGACCTCTTGTGCTTTATAAAGATCCCTCCATCTTCTCACCCCTTCTACCATCTCAAAACTCCCATCCACCAGGTCTGTTAGCTCTTCTGATTGAAATAGTTCACTAGTCACCAAGATGTATTTGCATTTTCATAAGAAGTATTTAAACATTTTAAAATGGAGATTCATTTTGGTTAAGTAGTTGGGGAAAATATGTTGCATGTGGGAAGATCTTTTGCTTCTTTCCCTCTAATCATCCTGGTCACTGGTGGTGCTTCAGGGCAGGGCGATGTTGTAGATAGGATGGACTTTGGAATGCGTTTCAGAAGGAGAAAGCGTTGACGTCATTTGTGAAGGGCAGGAAGTGGGCTAAGATGGTGCTCCTGGAATCCGTTTCCTCCAGCTTCCGTTTCACCCCCTCCAATTGTCTGTTCACTGCTCATACTTTTGGACAACCCCCTGATGGCTAATTAGGGCCTTCACTCATTGTCTCCTTTACCTGGTTTCTTGTTTCAGGTGTGTGCATGCATGTGTGAGTGCGTGTTTGTGTGTGTGTATGTGTATTTGGAAGAATATGATTTGTGGGTGTTTGTCTTTGGTGTGACTCAGAGTTTGTCTTATGTATGTTATAAGGTGAACGTTTAGGAGAATATTATTTCTTTAATCAGTTGTTTTTGAAAACATGTTGCTTATGTACTTGTACAAAATAAGTAGGTTGGATTTAAGGGTACTTGTATGTTACTTGTTAATTAGCTGTTGTTCATTGAGAGATTTTAGCATTTTTGTTGTTATCTAAAATAACACCCACTTTTATTTATCACTGTAGGTACCAAGTGCCAATCTTTATACTATTGAATTAACACATGGAGAATTTAAATGGCAAGTTAAGCGGAAATTCAAGCACTTTCAAGAATTTCACAGAGAGCTGCTCAAGTACAAAGCCTTCATCCGAATCCCCATTCCCACCAGGAGGTAACTGTTTCAGAATTAATTATAAGGTTATCCCAGTAAACAAGTTGGGTGGAAAGAGTATTTCATTCATATTATGGGTTAACTAGTCCATTGTTGATGGATATGTTCTATTAAATAGACTCTTCTAAAAATAAGCTGTCTCATGAAAGGTATTACAGGAGTCATGGTTCAAAGAATAATCTAATAAATGTTTGCATTGTGTGTGTGTATGTGTTTTAGACACACATTTAGAAGACAGAATGTCAAAGAAGAGCCTCGAGACATGCCAAGTTTGCCCCGTTCATCTGAAAACATGGTCAGAGAAGAACAATTCTTTAGCAGAAGGGTAAGTCCTCACACTGTTCTGTTGTTCTGAACATGATTTTGCAGCTCGGTAGAAACAGGGCATCTACTGAGAGGTGAGGTGGGCCTGGCTGCACCTTCTCTCACCCGCTAATCCATCACCCAGGCTGGTTTAGCTTCTCTGGAATGAGTCAGGTAGCCCCTTCTTCCCCAAGCCATTCTGGCCCTGGGGAGGCTGCATTTTCCTGGAAGAGGAAGAGCCGTCTGTGTTAGGAGTGTCGGTGTGAAGAATCTGACTCCCTGCAGGAGCCTCTTGGGGCTTGTTGTGGGTCAACATTGAGCTCATCATTGAGGGTGTTGAGAGCTACTCTTTTAAAGTCATCTATTTCCATATGTTTGTTTCAGTGTTTGGAGGAGCTTGTCCTAAATGTGTATACAATCTCAGTCCCAACTATAGATGGGGCCGCGAGGGTCTAGAAGAGTAGGACAGAGTACAGACGTGTACAACAGTAGGACAGAAAGCTCAGGAGCTGGGGCGCTCCTGCCTGCTCTGTTTGAGTGTATAGTGCTGCATAGGGCAGAAGATTGATTTTTTGTTTTACTAGAAAATTAAGAAAGTGTGAGTTCTGTTTTGTAATCTGAGACTTTTATGTTCTGAATGTACTTGATTTCTCCTTCGTAGTTATCATCTTGTTTAAACTCTTTTTGGAGGTCTGGAATAAATATTTTCCAAGATACATAGACACATAAAATTCTGCAGTTTTAGGTTACTATGTGTACATATATGAGTCCAGTTGAAAATGATTAACTCCGGCTTCAATACCTAGTGCGTCAGCATGTATCCTAGTCAATGTGATTGACATTCCCCCGCCCACATTTTAACATATTTGAAATCAGGGTACAACTTACTAGAAAGTCTCTTTTTTAAACCTTCCTCCTCTTTTTCTCTGAACAGCTGTTAAAAAATTGTAGTATATCTTCCGGTAAATTCACTCTTAGAATTGAGGAAATTTAGATTTTTGATAAAAATCAACAAATGCTTTAAAGCCACCTACTATGCCCAGGTCCTGTGTTAGTAACTATGGAAGATTGAAAGAATATACAGTTTGAGCCTTGTCAGCAGTTTGTAAAAACGTAATAAGGTGGAAAGTTACATAGCAAGAAGAGATTTAAATAATGGTTCAAGAGAAGTATGGAAATACCTCATCGATTCTATTCCGGATTCCTGTCTAGTGGTAAGATTAAGAAATAACTGAATAACTTATAGAAGTTAAGATGGAATGATGATGACATCTTTGTTGCTGTTTAAATTTTTCTATGAGTATGACAATATCTCTTATCTGAAATATTTGCATTACAGAAACAACTGGAAGATTACTTGACAAAGTTACTAAAAATGCCCATGTACAGAAACTATCATGCAACAGTAAGTACTATTCAGTGATTTAAATTTCGAAGTAATTTATAAAATCGTAAACTGTCAGCTAAATTTTGAATCATTTTATTAGCACAAGTTCTTGTATCCACTTCTGCATTACTCTTGGAGTTAAAATAAATGAAATGAATAGAAAATTGATTTGACAGCAAGGATCCAATTTATGGTGATACTATTTTTAAAATATTGACTATAACAATATGTCCATAGCAATAGATTTAAATGAACACGAGATGCTGCTAAGGCTAGATTATCTAGAAATCAACCTGCTTCTTGCAGAATGAGGCTTCCAGAATAATGCTAAAAAGCATTTCTAACCATGATGAAAAAACATTGAGTGGTAAGTGATGAAAACAGTTGGGCAGAGTTGAATGCTCGCAGATTATAAAGAGCATGCTGTGATTGCCATCTGATTGGCCTGTGATGCCTATAAAAGGCCTGTTTTTTCATGTGAAAGTGAGAAGCTTGGGAAAAACTAGGGAGAGAAAAATCTCTTGGGAAATCAGAGAAAAGTGAGAAGAGGTGATGGGGCTTAGAAGCAGCTGGGAGGCACACAGCCAGCAAGCAGGAGGGAGTGACCTTTGCAGAAGGAGTCAGAAAACTATGAGCTCTGCCATCTTAGAGGCCCTGGAGAGAGGATGTTTTTAAAGGGTTAGCCTTCAATTATCCAGAGGTCCAGATAACTGAGAATGCACTGGATTATTGTATTTTTGTGTCTGTGTGTGTATAAACCGTGTTGCTGTGGGGTTGAGTGTATGTATATGGTGTATGTGCAGAACTGAAGAGTGGACGAGGTTATGATTTGGCCTCTAGTTTAGAGAATGGCAGGCATCACATAAACATGTAAACAAAGAGGTAAGCCCTCTGTGTATTTAGGAGAAGAAGCAAGAATGCCTTGACTCCTTGGAATTTTTTGGTGGCTTGCTGCTTGCTTGCTGCCTACCAGCATATTATTTGGAGGCTGGAGCAGGCACCCAGCTAGTCCTCTTTATACACAACTGAGCCGGGGCTGGCCACAGCCCCCCTTCAGCATCTTGCACTGTGATGTTCCATGGAGCTGAAGGAGCTTCTGTGGTTTCATAATCCTGGAGAAGAGTTTTCCTGGGAAAGCAGCACTTTGGGTCCAATCAAAGGATGTCGAGAAGGATGGTGGGAAGGATTTCTCCTCTTCTAGGATTCAGGAATGTGCGTCTTTGAAAGAACTTCATGAATAAGGATATTACTGCTATTATTACTAAAAATGCTGCCTCCTCTTGTGTTCTCTGAAATCAGATGTGCTGTAATAGAGAATTATTTAAATGTGTGTTTGTACCAGTATGCAGTAATTTTCCACGTCTTTTACTTTTCTACCGGCCCGTGACTTTACTTTTACTATTACTTTTGGCTCTAGAACAGTGCTTGTTGAGTTCAGTCTTCTCTTTCTCTGTGCGTTACTACATTTTGGATTCTAATGTTGGTTAAAGAATGTTTACATTTTTTTAAATGTTCATTGTAATTTCTTTTCCAATCATAAAAATCTTTCCAAAATTGAGCCGTATTGTATTTAGAAGTTACAGAATGTCTTCTAAACATTTCCTTTGGATAGGAAAAACTGGTTATAGCTGGCTATGTGTTACTTGTCATTTTTGATGGCTACTTGGATTATTCCCCTCAACAGCAGAATTCTCCGTAATGATTCAAGCATGGGATACAGCTTGATCTACTTTAGTTCTCTAACATTCTCTTCCTTTCATACTAAATGTGATCTGGCCTAGAAACTAGATTTACAAGCTTCATATTTGTGAAATTAGATTGAATCTATGTCTCCTCTTTAGTAATTGTGAGAAATATTAAAACTCCTGGTTGCTAAAAGCATATTAAAAGTTATTTTTATATAATCACACATTTTTATAAGGGTAAAATAAACCCAATGTAACTTAAATTGGATCCTTAAGCCAATAGGATCATGGATCATAGGTCAAGGGGTCCAATAGGATCATGTCCCTAATTTCAATAAAATTTCATTGAAATTAGACATGGACAACTCTTTCTTCATACTTTTACATGGTCATTGGTTGCGTTAGTATTTAAACAACCTTTTCCTCCAAGATTATGAAGACTTCTTTTATTTTTATTCCTTTTTCCCTCCGTGAGGTTCTGAAAAGCAAAGCTTCCTAGTGTTTTAGTGAATTCAGCATCAGCCAGTTCCCTTAGAGATTATTAGTAATTCATTCCATTTTCTTTACTCACTTGTAGAATGAAGATAAATGTATTTGCCCTTTCCTTAAGGCATAAATACATAAAAGAAAAAAAGATAATATTTATTCAATTGTACAATAACGTAAAATCTCCAACAAGATTCCTTTTGTGTTCTGAAGTGTATTCACGCTGGCTATAGTACCGAACCCACTAGTTGGGCATTTTTATTCCTAACTGGAAAATGCTTATCTTCTAGGGAATTTAAAGGAGGAGTCAGTAGGAAAAGTAAATGTCCTTGTTTTTCTGATTGAAGATTAAAATCTAGAAATGAACCAAAATGCATAATTTCCAAGAGGAGGGCCCCAAGCTGATGGGATGATATTGCTAATTTCACGTAAATCATGTGTCATCTGTATCTCAGATTCCTTACCCAAGATGGTGATTAGTTTGAAATCACCTTCTTGGAGATAAGGAATGTGAAGATAAACAACCCACTGACAGATCAATAATACTGAGTTCACCTCTCCCTTGTTTTGTAGAATGAATAACTTTAGCTTGAGGGGAAGAGTGGGTAAAGATTAATAAAGATGCACACAGTGTTTCCATGCCAAAAGGGAAAAGCTGTCCTGGTTTAAACAGCTGCATCTGCAAATTAAGGGAAGTGTTGTCATTTTTACGATTGAGTCTTAGACTTGGGAGGTCCATGGGCCTTGCTCCAGCCACTTGGTTTCCTCCACAGGTTAGATGTCTCCTCTTCTCTCTGGAGCTGTGTTAACGGTTTTACCTGGAAGGCAGCCTTTCTTGGAGCATCTGAGCCCACCTCCTACCCCCACTGCAAGGGCACTGCCGAACCCCACACTCTTGTCTTCCTTGCTGCCGAGAATTTCCTACTTGGCCACTTGCTTGAATTTTTGCTACCTCAGGAATAAAGGGGCCTCTGAACATCCCCCTTCTCTTCTAATACAGAGATGGAGTAGAGAAGCAGTGTGTATGTGATTGTCAAGTAACTTCCAGGGTTTGTTGTTACCCCTAGGGTGTGTTGCTTGTCTCTTGGCATGGGAGCGCTTTGCTTCCCTATTTCCCTAACATTTAGTTGTACTTTTCACAAGTTCCTTTGGAAAAAAAAACAAAAAAAGATATTGACTAGAACATTATTCAAGAGATCAATAAGCCCTATGGAATATTGTCAGGCTAAATTGATCATTAAATTTTTATTCCTAAGAATCATCTGCCTGAATGGAGAATGGAATTCTTATCACTGGGAAGTTTGGACAGCACATTTTTGTTAAATTTATTCTTTTTATTTATTTTTTTCCTTTTTCTCCCCAAAGCCCCCTGGTACATAGTTGTATATTCTTCGTTGTGGGTCCTTCTAGTTGTCGCATGTGGGACGCCACCTCAGTGTGGTTTGATGAGCAGTGCCACGTCCCCGCCCAGGACTCGAACCAACGAAACACTGGGCCACCTGCAGCGGAGCACGAGAACTTAACCACTTGGCCACGGGGCCAGCCCATCTTTGTTAAATTTTAATTGTATTATTTAGGTTTGCTTCCAAATTGACCTTGGCACATTTACCTTCAATCCCATAAATCTGTATTAGAAGATTTATTGCCAGAGATCTTTTTTCCGTATAATAGGGCTAGTTCTTTCTTTAAGTCTCTCTTTACTCAATTTTTAACTAAACCATTAGGATAAATTTAAATTTCATATTAATACACAATTTAAAATTTTCTGCATTGCTGACATATACTTTTTTGTTTAGGTGAAATTCTTACATTTTGCAAGTTTGTTACGATATTCTAAAGTTATAATTTCTGAATTATTTCAAAGAATATTTCTGTTGTCAACTATTTGATGATAAGAGCTATGTGAATGAAAAAATATCCAGGTATTAGATAAGGGATTTCCTTGATGTTTGCTTTTCATTTCCTGTTCTTTCATTCGCTTGTTCTGTGACTTTGCATAAACTAGTTACACCTCTGTAGTGGTTTCTTCCAGTGTAAACTAGGATTGACATTTTCTCTCTGCTTCCTAGAGATAAAATGAGCAGTTGTAGCTTCGGATTTTAAAATATTTTGGATTCTGTGGCTCAAAGTGTGCACTGTCACTTCTAATAGCCTATGCATTTTCCAGTTAGAAAGCATTTCCACAAATCAGATCAAGAATGCATGGTACTGAATTGCCATGTTTTATACAAGAAATGAAGTGTAAAGACTTTGGATTTTAAAATTCTTATAAAAAATGCTATGTGAGGCTGTGCTTGATTTGGAGTTCTTAAGTCCTTTTGAATTTTAAATACTTCCTCAAGTAACCCTAAGAAAGAAATGCAAGCATTTAGTTGGCCCTCATAAGGACTGACAGCTCTGAGAGATTTGTAATTTTTTTTACATTGTTAATATTAGACATTTCCAATCACATATACAGAACTTTAAAACTGTTATGTTTCATTTCGTGAATCCCATTGACAAGGCCAGAGGAAATTCCATTTCCTCTGAGATGTCTCCTCAGCTAGGCAGTGGTTGCTCTCCCTCTGTAACTCTGTAACTACTTTCACCCGTAACTGTTAGGGTTCTTCCCACAGAACTTTGTTGATGTGGAGTGTTTTCTATGTCTGGTCTCCCCTTTGCTTCCTGACACCAGGAACATGTCTTTTTTGTCTTTGATTTTTCTATCAAACCTGTTATTGACATGGTCTACAGCCATTGGCAGATCTGGGCTTACTGTAGCTGCTTTTAAAGAAAATTCTTTAAATTGGGAGCAAAATAATATCTAAGTCTAGTTGTTTCAAGGGATACATGAGGTAAAACTCCTGCGTATGCTGAGAATTACATCACGTTCGTTGGTTTTCCCCTCTATGCCTCTCGGTTCATCTAGGGCTCACCCAGCTAGAATAAAGTTGCTCGATGTAAGTAAGATAAATGTTGAATGACTTTTTGCTTTTGCAGCTTAGTTTTGAGGATACCGACTGGTCTGACCTGACTCTGAATCTACTCCATGCTAATTATGTGATCTCGGGGAATTTACTTAACTTCTCTAAAACAAGGGTTGGTCAACTATAGCCCACAAACCAAATCCACCCCACTGCCTGTTTTCATATGGTCTGGGAGCTAAGAATAGCTTTTACATTTTTCAAGGATTGAAAAAAATCAAAAGAAGAAGAATATTTCATGACATAAAAATTATATTAAATTCATGTTTTAGTATGCATAAAGTTTTATTAGAATACAGCCACTCTTATTCACTTACTTACTGTGTCTGGCTGCTTTCATGCTACAGTGGTTTAACTGTTATGGTCCACAAAGCTTAAAATAATTACTGTGTGACTCTTTGCAGAGATGGTTTGCCTACTCCTGCTCTAAATCTCAGTTTCTTCTTCTGACAACATAAAAAATAACACCTATTTCAAAGAGGTTTGAGATAATGCATGAAAAATGCTTAGTACAGGGCCAACAGATATTAAGCATTCAGTAAATGTTAGCCATTGATGTTGCTATTATAATATTTATAGATTTTAATCTTCTTGTAATCTATACGGTGAAGGTAGGCCTAAACTTCTTCCTTTCTACTCACTAAAAATAGAATTATTTTTATATTATAATTACATAATATTATCTTAGTTTGTGTTAGAATATTCTGGTATTCCTGAAGTTCAAAGACCTCCCTATCTCCCCTCGACCTACTTGCCATTTCGTTTTCCATGACTCGCCTTCATCGTGCTCACTCTAACCCAACTGTACATCCCACGAGCTTCTTATACCTCTCCTAGTCTATTTCCCCCTTTGCCTCCCATTTCCACGTGCCAAGTCTAGAGCGTCTTCCAAAACCTGGCACCAAAGTCACTCCCTTCACACAATCTTTTATTATTTGTTTTGTATATATGACACAATCCCCCTTCCCCAACAACAAAACAAACACAAAAGAATTTTGGGAGTACATTCTCTCTGCATGACCTTCTTGAGCATTTTATCTCTACATCTTAGAGCACAGGTCACTTTCTTGGTTGTGTTTTAATTATGGATATTCTTCTAATCTGTACTCTTTCAGGGCAATGCGATTGTTAATGATCTGTGTGGTCTGTAGAGTACCCCAGACGTGTTTACACATAGCAGTACCTAATATGTGGTTTTTTGAATGTATAAATTTCTCTCTTTTTTTTCTGACTTTCTAAACTATGGGTTTTTGGCCTCTTTTCAGACTGAATTCCTTGATATAAGCCAGCTGTCTTTCATCCATGATCTGGGACCAAAGGGCATGTAAGTTCCAGCGTTGGCTCTTTAAAGAGAAATGTGAAAGCTGATAAACATTATCTTTTGATTTGTCGGTGTGCCATGGTGATGGAGCTCGCCTGGCTTCACTGCCAGCTGCTTTTCTCTCCAACAGGGTAACTGAGGGGATCTATTTATACAAAACAGAGTATTTTGCTACATTAAACAAAGGGAGCAACTGCTCCACGCTCTTTCTTACGTGCTTACAGCACAGATTTTCTCTAACCCAACAGTAGGAATGTTTAATACAGGCAGCAAATATGATGTGTGGGAGAATGCATTAAAAATCAAATATACAACACTGTATATTTGAAAGTTGCTAAGAGAGTAGATCTTAAAAGTTTTTCATCACATGATGGACTACTACTCAGCCATAAGAAATGATGAAATCCAGCCATTTGTGACAACATGGATGGACCTTGAGGGTATTATGCTGAGTGAAATAAGTCAGAGGGAGAAAGTCAAATACCATATGATCTCACTCACAAGTAGAAGATAAAAACGACAAAAAAAATAAACACATAGCATTGGAGATTGGACTGGTGGTTACCATTGGGGAAGGGTGGGGAGGGCAAAAGGGGTGATTAGGGTCACATGTGAGGGGACGCACTATAATTAGTGTTCAGGAGGTGAACATGATGTAATGTATCCAGAATTTGAAATATGATGGACATCCGAAAAAAATAAAAATAAAAAAAAAAAAGTTTTTCATCACAAGAAATGAGAATTTGTAACATGTGGTGGTGGATGTTAACTAGACTTATTGTGATGATCATTTACCAATATATACAAATACTGAAACAATATGTTGTACACCTGAAACTAATATAATGTTATATGTCAATTATATCTCAATTTAAAAAAATTAACTGTACAAGATCCCTCTTCTAATCACTTATAAAAGTTAGCTGTTTATCACTCATTTCCATGACTAAAAATAATACTGTGTAAAATTTATGTTATGTAACAAGATTGAAATTTACTTAATGATTATTTTCTTTTGCAATATGAGAGCCTGATGTTATAAAGAGCTTAACTTTTTTAGTAAAGAGTACTGTTGATAGTTGTTTTAAATTTTTCTTTTGTGTAGCCATTATTATTGTTCCTTCTTTTCACATCTTTCAAAATCAAGATGTTTGTCTTTTCAAAGCTAGTAGCAGGGCCAGCCCGGTGGTGTAGCGGTTAAAAGTACACACATTCCACTTCTTGGTGGCCCGGGGTTCGCCGGTTCGGATCCTGGGTGCGGACGTGGCCTGCTTGGCAAGCCATGCTATGGTAGGCGTCTCACATATAAAGTAGAGGAAGATGGGCATGGATGTTAGCTTAAGGCCAGTCTTTCTCAGCAAAAAGAGGAGAATTGGCAGCAGTTAGCTCAGGGCTAATCTTCCTCAAAAAAAAAAAAAAGCTAGTAGCTTTGCTCTCCTTCCTTTGGCATGACGTGGTCCTAGAACTGTAGGTGAAAGGATGCAGAAATGCCCAGGAATCTGTGGGTGAGCACCTCCGGTGGTCTCAACAGCAGCTGAACCAGTCCCCTGCGGGCATTTGGCAGTGTGTGGGGTCTTCTTCAGGCTGTCGCAATGACTGGAAAGAATGCTCAGCATTTAGAGCCAGAAGCCAGGATGCTTAAGGACCTGCAGTGTGTACAACAGAGTTATGCTGCCCCCAATGCCAACAGGTCTACACCTGTCCAGATGTTTTTAAAGATTAGCTACTGGAGTACTCAGCCTGGCAAATATGACATTGAGCTATTTGAAGGTGAAGGAGGAAAGAGTGGGGAGGAAAATCATGTGAGAATAAAACAGTTTATTTAGTCCCAAGTTGCAAGACTGTTATCAGCTAAGTGTGAGCTGGAAATTTGAACATGATGGGTTAACTTGATATCTCTTTCAGAGAAGGTATGATAATGAAGAGATCAGGGGGACACAGGATACCAGGCTTGAACTGCTGTGGTCAGGGAAGAGCCTGCTACCGATGGTCAAAAAGGTAGGACTTAGGAGTTCTGTGTGTTTATTTTAATAAACTGGATGTTGGGGGAATTTTTACATACTAGTTTTCAATAATAATTATAAATCCCTTGAAAGTCATAGCACTACAGATTTTAAATTATTTTAAGTTCTAAGTTTGAGCATCCATTTAAACATCCTAATTCAAACCTGGATTTGTAGGCAGACTGTACAAATTATATTACATATGTAAAAGCCCAGTGGGCCATAGGCCTCAGAAATTGGCCAGCAAAATAACATACACAAATGACCAATAAGCAGAAGTAAATATGCTCAACATCACTAGTCATTAGGGAAATATAAATCCAAAACACAGTGAGATACAACTTTACACCCACAAGTGGCTATAATAAAAAAAGATAGACATTAACAAACATTGCCAAGGATATAGAGAAATTGGAACCCTCATACCCTGTTGGTGGAGATGTAAAATGGTACAGCCGCTTTGGAAAACAATGTGACAGTTCCTCAAAATGTTAAACATGGAGTTACCATATGCCCCAGCAGTTCCACTCCCTAGGTATTTACCCAAGAGAAAAATACATCTGTCCCAAAATGTATATGTGGATGTTCATAGCAGCATTATTTAGAAGAGCCAAAAAGTATAAACAACCCCAATGTCCATCAACTGATGAGTGGTTGAACAAATTGTAGTGTACCTATACAGTGGAATATTATTTGGCCATGAAAAGAAATGAAGACTACTAATGGGTATGGGGTTTCTTTCTGGGTTTATGAAAATATCTTGTTGCACAACTTCGTGAGTATATTAGAAACCACTGAAATTATACACTTTCAAAGGGTAAGCTTACGGTATGTGAATTTATCTGAAAATTAAATTTAAAAGTTTAAAATTTTTTTAATTTTAAATGAAAAAAAAGGATTTGAAGTAACAATACCTGCTATATCATGAATGATCCTTGAAAACATGGAGCTAAGTAAAAAAATCCAAACACAAAAGGCTGCATATTATATGATTCCATTCATATGAATGTCCAGAATAAACAAATCTGTAGACAGAGTACATGAGTAGTTTCCAGGGGCTGAGGGGAGAGGAGAATGGGAAGTGGCTCTAGTGGATCTGGGGTTCCTTTTTGGGTGGTGAAAATATTCTGGAATTAGATGTTAGTGGTGATGGTGTACAACTTTGCAAAATTAAAACCACTGAACTGTACACTTAAAAGAATAAACTAAAAAAAGAAAAATTTGTCTGACTTGATAGATGATAATTTTAGACTTACGTGTGTGAGGATGTACATTATGGTAAGTGTGATATAGACAGAGAACTTTAATTCATATCCTATGTCCTACCCAACGAAAGACTCCTGGTGACGTGGTATTCTCATCTGATTCTTATTTCTGTCCTTAAAGCATTTATCACAATGTTTTGAATGTAATAGACAATAGCTATTTGTCACAATAATAATTTACTGGAATTTTGAAAAATATTAAGAATATATATTGTTTCCCCAACCTTGAAAAAGATGTATGAGCTCATGTTTAAGCATGAAACTGAGCTATGTGTGTCTTAAAAATATGTAAACTCTAAACTTTGATGTACCTTTAAACATATTTAAGATACAACACCAGCAAAAAGTACCATTAAGTTGGGCTCTTATTTTCTGGGTGTTGAAAGGATAAAAGAAATTACAAGGAAAAAATCAAGAGATTAGACTAGAGAAAGTTGAAAATTTCTGTGTTACAAAAAGACAATTTTACTGAAATAAATAGGGAAATAATACACTAGAAAATATTTGTTTTCAAATAAACTGCTATAACTTACATAAGTGTCCCCATAAACCTGGCGTGTAAGTAACATCACAGGAAATTCAGAGACTCCCACTTGAGGTATGTTCCCACCCTCTCCTAGCCCAATTGTGCAGAATCCTTGGGAAGACAGACCGAATGCCAAGCTAGGAGAGGAATGGAGGATAAGCTAGCCTGCCCTGGCCCCTGCTTCCAGCCCCACATCGTGCCTCTCTGGGAGGCTGGTCCTCCCAGCCCACTGGGACCCTGGTGCAGATTCCTCCTGACCACAACCCCCAGCCATCAGCTTTACCTGAGGTGGCTGCTACATGCCAACCACAAGGTTTCAAACTGCAAGCGCGTGCAAGTCTTTGACTGAAGACTTACTCTGGGCTGCCTGTGTGCAGGGCAAACTGAAAGTGTTCCTAGCCCCCAGGAGCCGCCATCAACTGAGAGCTGGCAGGAGTCCAGCCCCTTCGCTCTGTGGGGAGGGTGACCCTGCATCAAGCTCTACACTGTCTCCTGGAGATCCCCAGCAGATTTGCAGCCCAACTGCCCACAATAAAGGGCTTGAAAACACATCCTTGATGCCTCCCTTCCTGCTCTTCCTGCCCTTCTTTCCCCACTGGGGCTCCTAATAAGCTCCCGTATAAGCCCCTTTAAAAATTACTTTCATTTACATCCTTGTCTCAGAGTTAACTTCTGGGGCAACCCAATCTAAGACATCTACTCAAGAAATGGAAGCCTTTGTCTGGTCTGCTCATTTATTGAGTGCCTGAGGTTTACCAGGTTGTGTTTTAGCTGCTGGGAAAACCAGTGAGCAGGGAAAGTCCCTGCCCTCAAGGAGCCCTGTGAGAGGGGTGCCGGCAACGGCGACACTGACAGGCAATGTAAACGACGTCAGCGCAGGAGGTGATCAGAGCCTGGAAGGAAAAAGAAGGCAATGGGATGATGAGGGACCTGAGGACTGGAGACGGTGACTTTAGCCCAGGAGTCGAGGGACTGACGTGTGAGCTGTAACCTCTATGAGAAGGGGCAGCCAGAAAAGATGGGGGAAGGCTGTTATATAAAAGAAACATACCTCCCTCTCTTTTTAAACTCTGCATTAAACCAGGCTTCAACCAGGACAATCTAAAAAGTTAGACTCCTCCCTACAATTGAATGTGTCATCATTTTAAATTGTGTAAATCTTCCCGTAAAGATTGGAGTCTTGGCTCCACATTAATAGTGTTTCGTGAGTCACATTTGTGGGGTATAAAATATCAGTACCAAATAAAGATGATAGGATATAGCTGACAAAATTAGTTTAGAAGGTTTCCCATACTAGAAGGCTATTGATATCTTAAACAGGAGTTACTTTTGAGGACGACACTCCTTTATAACCCTTTTTTATTTTCGTACCCATAAAAAAACATTGATTACTTTCTTATTTATTCCATATTGATGAATTGACATAAGGCAAACAGGGCAATCAAACTTTCAGTCGAGTCTCGTAATGATCTTGTCTCAGGGACAAGTCAAAAGAAAAACAAAGGCAAACAGAGTAAACATTTCTTCCCACAATTTAAATGTCTGCTTAAACAGCACGTCTATTGAGCAGGGTCTCTGTACTTGTTTGCGGACTAGATGATAAGTTTCTTAAATAATATCTTAATAGAAAAAGAGAAGTATAGATTTTAAGGAATAAATATTGCATTTACTTTACTCAACCATGAACTTGTCAACTTGCAAAAACAGAAACCAGTTTAAGAGTAAAGCGTTTATTTGGGATCAAAGAATTGCAATTTGGGGAGCACAGATTCAGGTAGAAAAACCCAAATGGTGTCCCACTAGCGAGTAAAAGTCAGGGGTCTTTAAAGGCACAGAAGGAAGGTTGTATTACAAAGAGTTTTAATTGGAGCTGGAGGCAGAGAGCTAGTCTTGACTAAACATTGACTATTGATTCTATCTTCAGAAAGTCCACAATGCTCTGTCTTTGTGACTAAGATGTTCCTTCTCCTGCTGACTTCTCAAAACAATTACTCATAAAACAATGGCTGGTTTGGCCCAGTCCATAGGCTTGGCCCAGTCCAAGGTTCAAGACAGCAAGGCAGTGTCTCTGGAAAGCCGGCTCCAACTCCATTTTAAAATGGCTCCACTCTAGTCAATTTTGACGTTTCTCCCTTTTGATTGAGACCCTTCTTTGAAAGCATTCTGATCAACCATTTGAAAACATTGCTGATCGACTGTTAGAAAGCATTGCTGAGCAGCCATCAAAGCATTTTTGGTCCCTCATCACCAGGAAGGCTCACTGCTGGTACATCGTGTCCACGTAGGAGGGAAAGTGGTTTCCTTAAGAGTCTTCAGCCACATTTGAACAGCAAGAGGACCAGGGCAGAGGAAAGCCTTACCGTCAAGTTCCTTTAAGGGCAAATAGTGTCTGTAGTTCCTTGACGTTTCTCAGGTGATGGCTCCTAAGCCTTAGCAATCATTTTAAAGCACTGAGGGACCATTATCTGAGTGGTGTTTTTATAACATCGAGCTATGCAGAAGAGGCAAAGTTTTACAATAGTGAGAATTCCTATAATAATAAACAAAACTCTGAGTCCAAATTGGTGAATGGACCTGAACCAGGAGGCAGTTCCTGAGGGTTTCTGAATTCTAGAGGGATCAGGTAGAAAGAAAAAGTAAATGTTTCAGCTTTGTTCACAAAGGTATATCTTACCAAATTGTTGATAGCCTAAGAGAAGAGATTTCTGTAAATCTGTGAAAACAAAACATTCGAGCACCCGCCTCGGTTTGTGTAGTCCCACGTGACTAATATTTGTTCTGGACCTTTTGCTGGCAGTTCTATGAAGCCATCAGTCTGTCCGTTGGAGTTCTGTAATTTATTATGCAGCTCAGCTTTATGATCTGAGAGTTTATCAGAAGCCTGTATTCTAGCGTGTCACAAGCCTTTCCATGAATCTGACTGAAGATGAAGCATATTTGCAAAAGCATCATAGAGTAAAACAAATAACTGTCTGTAAATGACAAAAGACTTAAAATGGCATGGTTAAAGATTTGATTTCAATGCAATTGACAAAGGAATTTGGTTATTTCTGTGACATACAGCATTTTAAGATAACTAGAATTATGACTGATAACATTATACCAGGACATACCAGATTTTTAAAAATTTCATACAATTTTTACAACGTTTATATTAATAGCATGTGACTACAAGGAGATCCAAAAAGGAGATTTAGCATCACT